CTATCCTACCCTAGACTTTTCAATAAACAGTAATTTTTATTTATTTATTTATTTATTTTTGGTACTGGGGATTGAATTTGGGTCCTTGCGCTTGTGCAGCAGGCAGCAAAACCACTGAGCTAAATCCCCAGCCCTACATAGGGCCCTTCTTAATGATGCAACTGCACTGGCCCATGAAGTCCTCATCTTTACACAGCATCAGCAAATTCCTGACACTCAGGAATGTGAGCTAAGTATTGGTAGTCTTTCCAGTTTCTCAGGAAAAGGATGATGTGTGAAATTTGATTTGTTTTTTGGCAGTGTTGGGGATCCAACCCATGACCTTGTACATTAGCTATATCCACAGCCCCTGAAATTAAGACTTTCTTGGGGGGTACCGAGGACCAAACTCAGGATCTTCCACTTGCGAGGCAGGCAATGGCACCACTGAGCTAAATCCCCAGCCCAAATTAAGACTTTTTTTTGGTACTGGAAACTGAACTAAGGGCCTCTTACCTGACAGGCAGGTGCTACACAGTTGAGCTATGTCCCGACCCTAAATTAAGGCTTTTAAATAATAATTATTAGAAACAATAATTATTGATATTATTTTTTATAAAACACTATCTAAACAACAAAACAAAAGGAAAGGAAAAGAAAAACCCACATGTTGGTGGGCTGAATTTGCTCACAGATTCAGTAAGCTCAGTGAGAGTTTAAGAAAATGTTTTTTGGCCGGGGATTTAGCTCAGTGGTGCCACCACCTGCCTCACAAAGTGCAAGGTCCGGAGTTCGATTCCCAATACCAAAAAAAGAGAAAATTTTTGCTGGGTGTAGTGGCACACGCCTGTAATTCCAGCATCAGGGAGGCTAAGGCAAGAGGAATAGGTCAGCCTCAGCTATATAGTGAGTGCAAGGCCAGCCTGAGCTCCTTAGCAAGATCCTGTGTCAAAAACAAACAAACAAATAAAAAGAAACTCCTTTTTCAGTCATACTCCTATGGTCTAATCCCTGCAAACAGTAGGCATTTTAATATTTGCTTAAATGAATGAGTTTTTGAAAAAGGTAGAGCAAAGTAACAGGGTTAATAATAATTAACAGCTACCATTTATCAAGTACATACACTGTGTCAGGAAACTGCATTAGGCACTTTACATATATTATCTAATTAAATCCTTACAATAATGGATAGCATTATACAGAGTTTACTATATGCCAGAATTGTTCTAAGCGCCTTATATACATTTAGCCTGTATGAACTTTCCTACAGTTCAAAGAGATAGATACTATTATGATTACCCTCATTATACAAATGAAGCAACTAAGACACAGAAAGGTTAAGTAACTGCTCAAAGTCCCAATGCTAATAAGAGGCAAATGCAGAGTGCTGTTTCAGAGTCCATGATATAAACCATTACCTTACTCTACCATTTATTTTTTCCCCTAAGGATGAGAAAATTGAGACTTTGTAACTTGCTAAAGATTATTAAATGGTACAGCCGAAACTATAAAACTCACTTGAGGAATGAGCTTGTTCTTCCTCTCCATTTTGGGTCAGCTTATGTCTAACCTAAGATGTCATTAAAGTCATTAACCAGATCCTATGAGTACAGTACGGGTCAAAGTTTGTTGAGATAACAATAAATAAAAAGAGAGAAAATAAACATACACAGCACACAGACACCTTCTTGGAACCCACCTTGCTAGGGAACTGCTGTATGACCTGGGGAGTGTAGCTTATTCCTGACGGCTGCTTCTGCAGAGACACCACCACAAAAAGTTCAAACAACTGCTGCTCTTGCAGTTCAATAAGATCCCGCTCCAAGGTCTGGTAGTGAGGATTCCTCTTGGAAGGCTGCTGCAGTTGTGCTAAGCGCTTGTGGCGATCTGTAATGAGGTCACAGAGCAAGGATTTCCCCCATGGTACTGGCTTCCTCGAGCCCTACAGGTCATGACCCAGACAAGAGTAATCTTCACACAGTCACTGCTGAATGAACACTGACTAACAGTATCCGCCTCACACACTTACCTGTTTGGGCTGTGACGCACTCAGGGGACAAGTGCAGGTCCTCACAAATGCCCAGGCTCAATCCTCCCCCAACTAGCAGTGGTATCAGGATTTTATGTCCCAAATGATACACCATGTATGCCCAACACACACTCAATGCTGTCCTGCCTTTCATGCCAGCACAACAGGACACATTAATAGGTCTGCCAAATGCACTGGACTAACAATAGATACCTCTGCTGGGAATGCCATGAAATCACGGGAGAGGTCAGAATTTGAAAAACGAACTGAGTCTCTAGAGAAAGGGATGAGTTTGATAAAAAAGCAAAAACTATCTTTGTTTTTTTTGTTTTGTTTTGTTTTTGGTACCAGGGATCGAACTCAGGTCCTTGCACTTGCGCAGCAGGTAGCGAAACCACTGAGCTAAATCCCCAGCCCAGCAAAAACTATCTTTACACTGTCCTTTTCCTTTCTCTCCTTGGCAAATTTTACAAATAATGGATATATGATTATATCAATATATTGTGCTAAACTCATGAGGAAAGTGAAGTGGAAGAAGATATCTATTAACAGACTATTAGAAGAATCAAACCATGGAAACATGCTATTTAAATAGTACATGGCAAAAACAAACAAACAAAAAAATAGTACATGGCAATACCTCCCCAAATGGAATAGCATCTATCTGCTATTCCTATTTATCTCTAAATTCCAAACAATTTGGAGTATTCTTTACTAGGGAAATGGTATAAGAAGTTTAAGTGTTTCAGAGATTTGCTTATGTGTCATTCTGAGTCACTGACCAGAAGACTCATCTTATGTTCTTTTCTTTTTGGGATATGATGCATTCTTCCTCAAAACAATTTAATTATGGATCAAAATACTAAAAATACTTTAAAAATACAATGAGGAATGGCTCCCTAGAATTATCCAGGACATTTAGTGCTCTGGGCAAAGCTTTAGTTACCCCAAAGGGCTAAGCTCAAGTCAAGACAATTTTACGTCCTGTTTCTGATCAGCAACAACACTAAATTAAGTCACCCACACATATCAAGGCTGAACCTGATGGTGCTTTAAGTTTCATCTTCGACAGTCAGGCTACTGAATTAAACATCTTAAGCAACTCAGGCCAGTGGAGGAAGCACAAGACTATTAATCATAAGATTACAGAGTATCAGATTTGGAACTTCCTGGACTCAGCATTGACAATTCATGTCTCCTACTCTTCTATGCATTAGTAGGTCAAGGATTGAAACAGAAAGTAATAACTTGCTGTGACAATTCACTAGATGAAGATACAGAGCACTGTGAAGTGCCTGGAGATGTAAAGCCAGAAATGCATATTCTAACAGAGTAGACAGCACAATACACTGGAATATAACCACCTATGAATAAAAATAGGTAACATTGGGCCGGGGATTTAGCTCAGTGGTTCTGTCACTTGCCTCACAAGCGCAAGGACCCGAGTTTGATCGCCAGTACCACCCCCCACCAAAAAAAAGGTAGAATTTCCTTTCTTCTCTTACTTTTTTCCCCAGTGCTGGGGATGGAACTCAGGGCTTTGCTTGGTTGTTTTTGTTTTTGTTTTTTTTTGGTACTGGGGATCGAACTCTGGTTCTTGCGCTTGGGCAGCAGGCAGTGAAACCACTGAGCTAAATCCCCGGCCCTAGGGCTTTGCACATGGTAGGCAATCACTCTCTCACTGAGCTACATACCTAGTACCTAAATGTTTCTTTTTTCTTTTCTTTCTTTTTTTTTTTTACTAAATGTCTCCTTTTTCAAAGCCAAAGATATCAAAGTCACTTAATAATTATACTTGACTTACTATGAAAATCAGATATTAGGTGGTAAGTATTTGTCTCAGAGAGTAATTCACATGCTCTGTTGGGTTGCCCCAAAGCGTATGTGTCTGGACATGCAGCTCTGTGCTGCAGAACATTCCACCCTAAGAACCATACCAGTTGGCCCCCATCCACTAGAGATTTTAAATTCTGTCAAACAAGCACTGGTGTACTATTTAGTTTCCCAGATCTCAACAGGTTCAGAAAATGAAGAAATGACCTACAGAATGAAACTTCTTGTGGGGAAAAACAGGCTTAATCACAATGGCAGGCGCCACCCCACCCATAACCAGGAACATCACGAGAAAGGGAGCAGCCGCACTGACTCACTTACTCTTTGGCAGATACTCGCCATCACTTTCATTCCCACTGGTTTCACCTACAAAAACAGGAAGAGCTTCCATTTATATTGTCCCACAGTAGGAGGTACCCGAGGATGAGCACAAAGTAAATCCTCCACAGCCCAGGGACTAGGGATAAGGAACAGTAAGATGCCAAGCCATTTCTTTATGTCAAGTTAGAGCAGTTGTCAAAAGAGAACACGGGCGAATACAACTGTTCTTATCTGCAGGGGATATATTCCAAGATCCCCAGTAGATGCCTGGAACTGTGAATAGTACTGAACCATATATATATTTTTTTCTTATACTTACACATACCTATAGGAAAATTTAATTTATAAAAATTAGATAGATTAAAAACAATATATACAATTATGACAACATAATAAGTTATGTAAATATGGTCTCTCTCTGAAAATATCTTACTGTGCCGTCCTTACCCTTCTTCTTGTGATGATGTAAGGTGACCCAGTGCCTATGCGAAAGTGAGGGGAAAGATGTAAGCATTGTGCCGTGTCATTAGGCCACTATGTAAGGATAACTTGAACATGAACACTGTGAGACAGTGACAGTTGATCTGATACCCCAGATGGCTGCTATACTAGTATAATAAGTGGGTAGTGTGTGTGTGTGTGTGTATATATATATATATATATCAGCTCAGTGGCAGAGAGTTGGACAGAGGGAAGATTCATGTCCTGAGCAAGAAGGAACAGAACAGCTCAAGATTTCACCATACTACTTAGAATTCGGCCCAATTTAAAATTGATGAATATTTTTCTGACTTTCCATTTAATACTTTCAAGTTCAGTTTACCACTAGTAACTGAAGCCTTGGAAAGTGACCCACAGAAAAGATTCAGAAGAGCTGGGCATGGTGGCACATGCTTGTGATCCCAGCACTAGGGAGGCTGAGGGAGGAAGACTGCCATGAGTTTGAAGCCATCCTGGGCTACATAGTAAGTTCAGGGCCAGCCTGAATTACATAGCAAGACCCTGTCTTAAACAAACAAACAAACAAACAAACGACTCAGAAAAGAAACTGCCCATTACATCTTCTTTCCACATTCTACCTCCCTGCTCAGCTCTCCTCTGATCCTTAATTCTAGGAATTAACCACCTTTTAGACTAGTTTTATGAAGTTTAGTAAAGATTAGATTCTATTTTACATTCAAATCTTGCCTGTAATATTCCTAAATAAAGTATTAAAGGTAGGATATTAAGCTGCTAAACAAAAACCTGAACACCAACCTGACTACAGCTTTGAGAAAGAGGGTACCATAAGTTTGTTTGTTTTGTGGTACTGGGATTGAATGCAGGGCCTTCGCCCTTTTTATTTTGAGACAGGGTCTAACTAAGTTGCTAAATTGCCCAGGGTGGACTCAAACTTGCAATCTTCCGGCCTCAGCTTCCTAGAGTGCTGGGATTGCAGGTGTGCGCCACCAAAAGAATTTTACAAAGTATCGTTCTATCTCTTCTATGATACCTATACCTAGCCATAAGCCCATACTGATCTTTCCTTTACTCTGAATTCTTGTAGTTCTAATACTGATTTGTTCTGTTCTTATTTTCCAAAATCACATTTTAAGTATCCTGAGAATAAAGGTCTATGTTGTTTTCACAAGGAACTGTTGAGTTTTGTTTGTTTTTCTGGTGCTTGGACTGAACCCAGGGCCTTGCAAATGCTAAGCATGTTCTCCACCACTAAGTAATATCCCCAGCCAACAAGGGAGTGTTTTGTATCATAATTCTGGGCACACAATTTACCAAGAAAAAAAAAAGTTTAATGAAAGGGATGGGGGCCAGGGATTTAGCTCAGTGGTTCCGCCACCTGCCTTGGAGGCACAAGGTCCTGAGTTTGATCCCCAGTACCAAAAAAAAAAAAAAGAAAGAAAGGGATGGAAGCTGAGTGTGGTGGTACATGCCTGCAACCCCATCACTTGGAAAGCTGAGGCAGGAGGATCGCTGTGAGTTTGAGACCAGCCTGGGCTACATAGTGGGTTCAAAGTTAGCCTGAACTACATAAAGAGACCCTGTCTCAAAATGGGGGTGGGGGGGGGCTCGGTGGTAAAGCACTTGCCCAGTATACACAAGGGCTTAGGTTCAATCTGTAAAATAAAATAAGATAAAATAAAACCAAACCACATTGGTTTTGTTTGTTTGGTACTAGGGATTGAGCCCAGGGCCTTCTCACTGAGCTGCATTCCCAATCCTTTTTATTATTATTGAGAAAGGATCTTGGTAAATTGCTCAGGTTGAGCTCAAATTTTCAATCCTTCTACTTCAGCTTTCTAGAGTGCAGGAATTACTGATGTGGGCCACTATGCTTGGCTAAAAACAAGCTTTCTGAATAAATTTTTTAAAATTTCAGGCTGGAGGTTTAGCTCAGTGGCACCGTGCCTGCCGCGAAAGCACAAGGTCATGAGTTTGATTCCTGGTACTAGGAAAAAAAATTTCTAGATTAAGTCTGAGAAATCAAAGCAAAATAAGAAAAATGCAAAGAAAGGGAAAGTCGTTGTTTGTAAACATACTGCAGCTATAAGACAAAGTGTCTTAATATGTACACAGCTGTTACAAATCTAGATGAAAAAGAATACACAACAGATGAAAGGAACAAGAGTAGGTATAGACAATTCATACAATGACTGTACATTTCTTTTTTGTCACCAGGGATTGAACTCAGGACCCTTCTGCTTGCAAGGCAGGCACAGTGCCACTGAGCTAAATCCCTGGTCCTATACATTTCTGATAAAAACAAAAACTGCCCAAATTCATAATGAAAGAAGCAAATTAAAAGAATAAGATACATAGCTTTCAACCATGATATTAACAGAAAATAAGAATCTTTAATTAAACAGTATTGGTAAAGATTATAGGAAAAGCATATTCAAATGCTACTCCTAGAAACATAAACTGTTACAATCTGGAGAAACTGAGCAGCAGCTATAAAAACTTTTAAATTTGTACGTTCTTTGATCAAGTCAGTCTACTACTGGGAACTTGTTTTATAAAGACATTCCTGCAAATATACAAAAGATGCAAGTAGAAGAATACATATTACGATACTGTTTGAAGATATTATATGTATATCTTCACCCCCACACAACTTGAATATCAAAATGATAAAAGCAACGAGCTAAATAAAAAACATTTTTTTTTGAAGTCTGGAATTGAACTGAGGGCTTCATTGAGCTATATCCCCAGGCTCAATAAAAAATTTTAACTTTTATATAATGAAATACAGTATAGCTATGAGAATCTCTATGTACTGATACTGAAAGAAAGCTTTGTGAAAAAGGAGGGCATACACAGTCTGAATAATGTGACTACTTGGGTATAAAAAGTATTTGTATCCTTAGCACCAGGTATCTCTTAGGAGCTTATGAAATATCAAGAGAGGAGCCAGGGCCACTGAAGAATATCTGTAATCCCAGCACTGGGGCAGGAGGATTGCTGTGAGTTTGAGGCCAGTCTGGGCTACATAGTGAGTTCAAGACCAGACTGAACTTAACCCTGTCTCGGAAAACAATCAATTAATGAATGAATCAATCAATAAATACAGACAGACAGAATTGAATAAGGGTGATAAATCATTCTGTAACACTTGCAAACTGAAAGTTAAGAAATGTTTATGTTCGAATATACTCAGGAACCTGTAGCATGTACTGACAGGGTAGGCTTATTTGATCGTCTATTCTGTTAAGCATTGTTAATAAACAGACAGGGGCCAGGGATTTAGCTTAGTGGTGCCGCCGCCAGCTTCGCAATCGGAAAGTTCTGAGTTCGATCCCTGGTAACCCCCCAAAAAAACAGACAGAACTTAAGGAAGAAAATGAAATCAGAACTGTGATGATAGAGTCAGGATATCCTCAGGCATGAGAAAAACTCCTCTGATTACTTGGAGGAGTTGGGCACAAAGACTAGGTAGATTGGTTATTTTCTCCGAGTTACACACAGAGGGAAAAAACTTTCAGGGAAGAGCTACAAAGTAGGGACTACTCTTTTTTTCTTTCTTGGTACTAGAAGTTGCCTATTTGGGTAACTGAAGTCTTTTTCTTCCCTTTTCAACAATGGTATAGTTTTTTTGTTTTGTTTTTTAAAAGGATTTGTCTCTTCAAAAACTTGTCTTAAGCCAGGTGTGGTAGCATGAGCCTACAGATCCAGCTACTTAGGAGGCTGAGGCAGGAGAATCACTTGAGCCTAGGAGTTCAAGGCAAGCCTAGGCAACACAGCAAGACTCTGTCTCAAAACAAAACTTTTCTTACAGCCAAATTTACTAAAATGCTAATCCATACTACATGCACACAAATAAGAGTGCTGTTAATTCGGGGAAATGATGTTTTGCAAGCACTTGTCCTTGCCCCAGTGTCTTGATATTTTACATGATTAGCAATCTATAGTTAATTTCCTTATCTAGAGAACAGTGACAATATCATCTGTCACACAGGATTATTTAGAAAGTTAGAAATAATGAATCAGGAAGAATCCAAGACAATATACATTGTATAGATTTCATTTTCTAGGTCTAGTTCTGAATTATACAAAATTTAAAAACCTCTGATAATATCCTTGTTGTCTATGACCATACCACCCTTAACATGCCTGATCTCGTCTGATAATATCCTTGTTGAGAAGGAAACACATGGAGAAGAGGTAGTGAACTGCCAAAAAAAAAAAAAATCAAGATTTATGAGAAAAACTGAGAGTCACTGTTGGTGACAGAAAATCATCTGACTTTGTGGAGCTACAGTGCAAAAGTACCCTTTCTCCTTGGACTCAGCTTCTGCCTGTGAATTTAGGCTGGACATGAGACATGGTCAGCACTAACTAAAAATTTCTTCCCCAAAAGAGAAGATTGAAATATATTTTTTAAAGTGCCTTTGAAAAATCTGAAAGCTCACATTAAAAAGAGTGACAAGTTGATTTTGTTGTTGCTGTGGTGCTGAGATTGGATCCAGTCCTTAGAATAAGAATAAAGAGTCTAAGTTAAAACAGAGGATTTTATTTTCAGATAGTAAGTTGTCAGAACATACTCAGGTAGGACAGACAGGAAAGTAAACCAAAAATTGTAATATACATCAGATATTAAATTTTACAATGATTCTCCTCTCAAATGCTGATATCCGTAGGTAGCTGGAACAATCACAGTTCTTACCTTTTGAAGGAGGTACTTCCTTTCCAGTGTAAGGGTGTAACTTTACCTTCTTCTTTCCTCGCTTAGACTGAAATACGTCATCTATTTTCAATACAAGCTGAAAGAAGACCAGGAAAATACAAGTTAAAACCAACACATGGTTTGCAGCTTGATGACTTAAATTAGTGATTCTAATTTAGAGAAAAGATGTATTTTATAAATAAAAACTGTTACTTCTTTCAATTTAAAATTTAAAATGATGATCTCTAGATGACATACTGTTGAAATACCAAGTCCAGTTCATTGCCAGCCTGAACTATAAGGAGACCCCACACAAACAGACAAAATGCCAAGTCCGTTGTAAGACGGGCAAGGCGACCCCTTTCTGGATGAGCCCAGCACAGCTCCTCAGGGGGTTCCCTGTCCCACGCCACAACATGCAGGCAAGGTGGCTACCACACTTCCGACAGTGCCCGAGCCATCATTAAATGTAAGTTTTTGCTTGTCCAGAGTAGGAAGGGGAACATTCATTCATTCACTTGGAGGACAGGGTGAGGCTCAGTTATTTCTGCTCCCAGGAATTCTTCCAAAAAGAAGATAATCACACCTAGGAAGTATTGTTGTTGTTTCATTTTTGAGGTACTGGGGATGGAAGCCAGAGCCTTTGCACTAAGCTACATCTGCAGCCCCTCAGCCCTTTTTTAAAAAATTGTTTAATTTTCTTGAGACAGGGCCTCACTACATAGTTTAGGCTGGTCTTGAACTCACTATGTAGCCTAGGCTGGCCTTGAACACACAGCAATCCTCCTGCTGAGGCCTAAGTGCTAGGATTACAGGTATGTGCCACCACACTCAGCTCTTATTGTTTGAGAGAGGGTCTCACTTAAGTCACTACGGTCCCCAGTCTGGTCTCAGACTTGTGATCATTCCACCTTAGCCTCCCAAAGTGAAGTCTCAGCCAAATAAAATACACTTTGCTACTGAGAGTACAAACATTACAATTTATTTCAGAAATATATCATAAAAATAGGAGACTCTCAAATATGCTCAAGTACAAAGCATGCCTTTATACCCTTCTACTCATTTTTAAAATTAATTAATAATTTTGGGGGCAGTACTGGTGACTGAGCCTAGGGCCTTTGCACCGAGCTACATTCTCAGCCCATTTTTTATTTAAGACAGGGTCTTGCTAAGTCACTAGGTTGCCCAGGCTGGGCTCAAACTTTCAATCCTGCCTCACCTTCCCAGGGTCCAGCAATTACAGGCATACACTACCACATCCACATCTGTTTTTTAAATTGTTATATATATATATTTCTCCCTAACAAGAATTACTTAGAATTCTTTCTTGGCTGCTGGGAAAGCGGTGTATGTGTTTGTGTGTGTGCATCTGAGAAAAAGACAAAAACAGAGCTAGAGACACAAACTAGGTTGGGGTAAAAAAGAATTACAGGCCAGGGATTTAGCTCAGTGGCTTCGCCGCCTGCTGCGCAAGCGCAAGGACCCCAGTTCGATACCCGGTACCACCCCCCAAAAAAGAATTACAGCCAACATCAGGTACTTTTAGAATAAGGAATAGTTATTACATGTGTACTTTTTACCTTAAGAGTCCATACTTTTTTAAAGTATTAATCCTAATTTAACACACTTAATGCCTAGCATTATACCTGTTAAGATCATTATATTAGATGATAATCAACAAATTTGCTTGAGAAAAAAATGCTCTTTTTTTCTTTGTTTGTTCTTGTTTCTCTAGCAATCCTGGCAATCAACAGGCTGTGAATCAGTCCAGTGCCAGAAAAAACATGGGAGAAACATGTGCATCTAATATGCAGATTATTCCTATATTTCTGGATGAGTTTGTTCTCTTGAAATATTTTTGTAGCTGGATTCAGGAGAAAAGTTACCAATGATCTTTCTCCTTTTCTTCTCCTTCTCCTTTTTTCTTTTTTGAGATAAAGTCTTGCTACGTAGTTCAGGCTGGCCTTAAACTCACTATGTACCCCAGGGTGGCCTCAAACTCAGCAATCCTCCTACCTCAGCCTCCCAAGGGCTGGAATTACAGGTGTGTACCACCACTCCCAGCTGACAATGATCTTAAATATTATCATTACAAAAAACAAGACTCTAAAATAAAAGAGTATTTTATGGGCTATAGGAAAGATATGCAGCTTTGTTTTGTTATGTTTTGAGACAGGGTTTCACTGTTTAGTCCAGAGTGGCCTCAAACTCACCATCTTCCTGCCATAACCTCCCTACTGCTGGGAATACAAGCATGCACTACCACAGCCAACTTAAAAATAGCATAATTAAAAAAAAAAAAAGCAGGCCAGGGATTTAGCTCAGTGGTTCCACTGCCTGCCTCACAAGTGCAAGGTCCCAAGTTCGATCCCCAGTACCAAAACAACAACGAAATACAGTAGAATACTCTAAGAAATGACAGAAGCCACACTGCTATACACACTTGATACAAACAATATAAAACATAAGGGAATATACTCCAGCTAACAATCCCACACAGGCTTCCAAAGAAGGAAAAGAAAGGAAGGGTGGGAAAGAGGCCAATAGATTAGATCAGTGATTTTCAAACCATGAAAGCAATTTTTACAGTCATCAGAGGGGAAATAAATAAAAACTTATTTTCTTATGAAATACTGTTCTTGAAAATACTCCAGAGCGAGACTGCACATGGGACATCATAAAAGGACTTAATCTGAAATGATAACCACTTGCTCCTGCCCAACAGTCAAAGAGTTCATCACCATTTTCTTTCATTCTGTTTTAAAAAAAAAAAAAAAAAAAAAACCCTTTGGAAAAATTCTAGAAAAGGAAAAGTGGGAGCATATCACCTATTATCAGAAAGAGAATAAGCTTTGAGTCCTCAAGATTTACAGTACAAAAAATACTGAGGCATGAAATTGAAAGCACTGTAAAATCTCCTTGGACCTCATTTAACTCTACAATGCACAATGAGTAAATATTTGCTAATGCCATTTTAAAATTTTAAGAATCTTAATGCAGTCCCTTAGGTGTCTGTGTTCTTCCTCTGAAGAACACATGGTCTGTGGGAAGCTGGTTTGCTGTGGCAGTGTGATCTACCGAAGGAGGATGCTACTGCTGGGGGCTGGCAGGTTTTCAAACCTTTGATTTTTAAACAGGGAGGGCAGGAAACAGGAAGAATTTAATTGTGGAGCAGAGTATTTCCCAAGGAACCATAGAATAGTCACTACGCCAAGAAACAACTGTGACTTTTGCTTAATGTTAAAATCAGGTATAACAATTGTGTGCTAAATGAATACACACAGCTAATTCAGCTGGTATTAAGAAAAGAATATTTAAATGATTTGACTTTACTGCTGCACATTATCTGCATAGTATTTTGTCAATCTTGAAAACACCCTGAATTAAAGTACAAATTGACTATTTACACATAATTTCTTAGGTGTCTCTCCTAAAAGAAAATATATCTGTCTACAGGTAATCTCAGTTCCTTCTTCTGGGTTGCAGTTGTTCTAGTTGGGATGATGTACAGCCTTAGCCTTTACTGCCTTTTTCCCTTGAGGGAGAAGTAAGTTATATTATATGATTGCTGGTAAGTTTTTAGTTCCAAGTAACAGTTCAACTTATTTTTTTCCTTCTCTGAATGGAAAGTTTTGCCCCAAATATACTGTATACTGTACTTTGTCACTACTGAAAATCTGTAAATTCAGGCATAAAACTAAAGTCACTTTGGCATAAAAGTGGGAACAACATTGAAACTGGCTTGACAGAATGTCCCTCTTATGAGATTTTGGTGCTTCTTCTTCTTCTTTTTTTTTTTTGGTACCAGGGAAAGAACTCGGGTCCTTGCACTTGTGCAGCAGGCGGCGGAACCACTGAGCTAAATCCCCGGCTCTCTGGTGCTTCTTTAAAACAGACAGCTAACTTTGAGCTAAGGTAATTGAAGTGAAGCTTTCCCTGTAATATCAATTTTCCAAATCAATAAAGAAAACATGGCAAAAGCCATTTGTGCATTTTTTTTGTATAACCAAAAGCTTAAAACTTAAGGCTGTGGGAAGAGGGGTCGAAGGGAAAGGAAGAGAATGGGAAAAAAAGAACCAAGATATATCATGTACAGGTACAAATTCCCAGATGTACCAATAAATGTTCTGCTTAAAAAAAACAACTTAAGGCTGTTTTCCACATCTTTTAATTCCAGTAAGTCACTTATAATCTATTATTTATTTTGGTTTAATTTTTATTTATTCTCATGTATAGAACTATTGAAATAAGAAAAGAAGAAAGTACTGAACTCCTCACCCTTGGAAGATTTCTCCTTTTTCTGTTTGCAACTTCTCCAGCTCGGAAAAGTTTCCATTCAGTTAAAGTGACAGGCAAAGTGGTATCCTTCATAAGCTTTGACCGTAAATAAGTTTGCGAGTTCTTCAGTTCTATAGTCTTCCGGTGAAGGAACTGTGGTTTGTGAGGAAGCCAGAATAGGAGGAGATGTACGGTAAAGGTAAGATTATCTAGTCAACACCTGTGTTTTCATGCAAAGTCAAAGCTATCCCAGGAAAATATTTATCTTTTCTTTAAAATAATCTCAAATGGGGATACCATAATTTCTTTCTCACCACTGGTAAAGTAGCTTCTCAGTTTTAGAATTCAAAGTTCTCCTATAATGTAATCAACTTCCCAGAGAACAACAGCTCATAATCTTCATAACTCAATGCAGGGGTTTCAATATTTTCAGGGACCAGGCAAATAATTTAGGTCACAGGCTGATGTGAGACTAATAAGGTATAGTGGGAACTATAGTAAACTGAAAAGTTCACAGCCTATCTAAAGGCACTTATATCAACTGTTTTGAGGTGTTAAAATGATAACAAAACAAGGCAAAGAAAAAAAACCTATGTATTGCCTTAAAAAAACCACCAACAATAAAACTTACATAATAGTGCCTCTTAGTTTTGGCCCCAATTAAATCATCTTAACTTTTCTGGATACAACATAAACAGTTAATGCTCTAGCTGTACCTTGGGTGTTTTGAAAGCACTTTTAGGGGGTGGCAACTTCCATGCTGAAGGGGATCTCCACAAGGGCAAAGGCTGCACTGGAATATCTTCATATGGATTTTCTTTGGTGGGAACTTGAAAAATAACAAAAACTGCTTAGAGGAACATAATTAAATGGAAATTCTGCACCTAGCAAAAGAAATTTAAAAACCATTATATTCCAGTTTCTTATTCTTCACTGGTGCAGGAATGTGTTCTTGGGGGTTTTTGGGGTTTTTTTGTATCAGGGATTGAACTCAGGACCTTGTGCTTGCAAGGCAGGTGTGGTGCCACTGAGCTAAGTCCCCAGCCCAAGGGATGTGGTACTTAAGATCAATCAATGAAACTTTAAGTTTACAAATCACTCAGGTGTTGAAACAAGCTAAAATAATTTTCAAAATACTATACTGTAAACATTTACTTTTGAACTGAGTAGTCCATTGCACTCGCTGTAAAATTCATTACAGAATGAAAAAATTTGTACACCAAAGGTATCCATATTACAAAGACAAATATAGACCAAGATATATTTGGTTATAAAAGAAAATACAATCCTATAATTAAAGGCATCATTAAATACACATTCATTAAATTTAATTGCAAAGTTGTGTAAACCTACATATGATGTCTTCATAGATATTATCCTCCGATTGTGTATAATAAAGTGCTGAACCAGAATTTCTCCCAAGTTCTTCATGAATCTTCCGTGAATTCCGATTTCGAAAGTGCTGAATATCCTCAAATTCAAAGGATTTCCTTAGAAAAGGAGATACATTTTAATGTTATATCTTTCAAAACACTGATCTTTAAACAGAAATTGAAAAGCAAAGAACTTGAGTGCAAAATCACAATGGTGTTTTCATCAAAGATGTAAGAATTGCCAGGGATTTAGCTCAGTGGTTCTGCCGCCTGCCTCGAAAGCGCAAGGTCCCAAGTTCGATCCCCGGTACCAAAAAACAAGAATAAACTACACTGGTGGCCTCTATGCACATGACAAAATGGAAGGATTTTAACCAATCATATTCATGTTCTTCACTAGGTTCTTTTACTAAGATAACTCCTTAATTAAAAGTGGACAAATCCATTTTTTAAAATACAGGGTCTCACTATATAGTTCAAGCTGGCCTTGAGCTCACTCTGTAGCCCAGGCTGGCCTCAAACTCGCAGTAAACCTTCTGCCTCAGCCTCCCAAGTGCTGGGATTACAGGCATGTAACACCTTGCCCTCCCCTCTTGATTTGTTTTTGTAGACAGGGTCTTGTGCCTCGAACTCACAATCCTCCTACCTCAGCACCTTGAGGGCTGGGATTACAGGCATTATGCCACCATATCTGACCCTACAAATTATTAAAGATACAAATTCAAAGTCGAGGCCAGGGATTTAGCTCAGTGGTTTTGCCACTAAGCAAGGACCGGAGTTCGATCCCTGGTATCAAAAAACAAAAAACAAAAAAACAAATTGAAAGTTGGGTATAGTGGCAAACACCTGTAATCCTAGCACTTGGGAGGCTGAAGGAAGAAGATTACTGCAGGTTCCAGGCCAGCCTTGGTTATAAAGGCCAGCCTAACAAGACCCTGTCTTGAAAAAAAAAGATACAAATCGGAAGGCTTTTTGATGCTCTGTTATCAGATTGTTGTAAATATTACCTATACTTCTACTTTTTACTTTTTATTTTCCCTCCATGTTAGACAACGTCAGTATGTTCAAATTAGGGCTGTAAACGGATGTAGGAAATTAGAATTGATTTGAAAGGAAAAAGAAAATACTTACAAATCATTTTGTATAAGATGAAAACATACCTTTTAGATCTCCCTCTAATTTTTCCACCATATTTCTTTGGTTCAGGTTCCTGAGAAGAGGCCAAAGTAGATTCTGCACAAGAATTATTTTCACAGAATTTTTTGTCACAGTTTCTTTCTTTATATGGCATAACACCAGATTCAGATAAGTATCTGAATGTCCTACGTGGTTTTGGCAAAGGATTTATAGAAGGTCCACATTCTTGACCCTCAGGTTCAGAGTAAATATTTTCTAAGCTCTTGGTTATTCCATATGAACTATTTAGAATGCTACAATTCAGTTTTTTTTCTGAAGGGCCACAATGTTCCAAAGCCAAATTTATGACTTTATCTGGGGGAAGTGCTTCTATTTTCTTCCACAATATTTGTGAGGTATAAAAGTTTCCTTGAGGTAATGAAGTCTCTTGACCTAACACAACTTCTTTCCAGCTTTCTGTCTGTTTGACCTTTGAACATACCCAATTGGATTCTGATTCATTTTTAAATATGCCTGTATCATAATATTCATGTTTCTCATCTTCATCCTCACTTAGATCATGGATTTTGTTCATATCTAAACCCACATTTTGAGAGTTGGTTACTCCCGACTTTTTGTTCTTTCCCTCAGCAATAGGAGTTTTCTGAGGAAGAATCTCTTGGTGACAGTTGTACCTCACTCCAAAGTCCTTTGGATGCCACTTAGCTGGATTAGATGTACCATTAGTCCTTCTTTCCCACTGAGAAATTTTTTGTTTGATGTTTTTGCAGTGGCTTCTTGACAGTGTCTGAACAGCAGAACGAGAAAAACCAACATCCATGTTCCCAGTTGGGTGCATGACAAGCGATGAATCTTATAAAGGTTCCATTACAAGGGATGGTGAAATACTGTACACTTTATCCTGTCGGAAGTGAAATGATTCCACTACCTTTCTTTCATGTTTAACTTGGAAATGTCTTTTTAAAAACAACAATTTTGATCATTGATCCTCATTGAAAATGGCTGCAACTTTATCTTGAATAATCCTATTAAAATGAGACAAAATGTTAACAGGGTTTATAATTCCTTTATTTAAATCTCACTGAAAACACTGCGTACTTATCCTGAAACAATTTATTTACATTGCAGAAGTTAAAATATGCCTGTAGTTCAACTCCATAAAGGCAGTCCTAAGAGAGTGCTATAATAATACTGAGAAAATAATACTTGTGACATTTTTCAAATTGTCAGGTTTAATATTCTGCCATATATAATCCTAAGGTTAAGTAGAATGAGGGTTTATAAGAATTAGCTACAGCAGTATACAACACTATTTTGTAATAAACAAATTATTTTTGTTTGTTTAGTTGTTTGTTTTTGAGACAGAGTCTTGCTATGTAGTTCAGGCTAGCCTTGAACTCTCCATGATCCTCTGCCTCAGCCCCTAGTGCTGGGATTACAGATGTGCACCACCACATCCAGCTTATAATAAACCAATTACTTATGAAACTTTCTCTTAATCAAAAAAGGGCCAATGGCAAGGACGCTAGTTCGATCCCTGGTACCAAACAACAACAACAACAACAACAACAACAAAAAGGGCCAATACATAGATAGAAATAAAAAGCACAAACAGATAGAAATACATTGACTAATCAAAAAGTTCATGTACACATACACAGCAAGAAGCAGTTAGTTTACAAACATACCAACAGGAAGATAATTAACTTGTGTTGACAGATACTATTAGTCTATCACATATCCTTATTTCAACTCTACTATTAGCATCTTAGGATTACAGACAACATGCTAAAGAGAAACCAAGGGGCCCATTAACTATCATTTCTTCAAAATAAAATAGCTATTTTGTGGGGATTTACTCGGTGGTTCTGCCGCCTGCCTCGAAAGTGCAAGGACCCGAGTTCAATCCCCAATACAAAAAAAAAAAAAAGAATCCATTTGTTGAGGCTGGGGATTTAGCTCAGTGGTTCTGTCGTTTGTCTTGCAAGCACAAGGACCCAAGTTCAATCCCCGGTACCAAAAAAAAAAAAAAAAAAAAAAGAATTAAAAAAAATTTAAAAAATAAAATAGCTATTTTGTCAGTGACCGAAATTCCTACATCTCGCGAGCACATCCTTGACCTGAATATGCAAAAATACTTACAGTCACTGTCACATTTCTTCCTTTCACATAGAGGCTTTATTCAGTCAGACCCATAAGCTGTTTCTTCAAATATGAAATTTAGCAAAAAAAGCTTTTCCTACCATATGAGCAAAGACTTGCTCTCAAGTTCTACTGTATACTGGTTATAAATAGCAACTGATTCAAAACTTCCTGAGGTAGGGGGTCATCCTTCCTTGAGCTTTGTCTGTGTGGCCTTGATTAACATGCAGGAAAATATCTTAACACAGCTCTTGTCAGTACAGCTGACCGAAACTGATATACACACAACACACACATATGCACACCCAACTTATTCTTGGCACAACAAAGTCTCTTCAGGACTTCTGTTACTTAAATCATTGCCATAACTTTGGAGAAAAACCAGCTTTGCCAGCAAATAAATTCTGCTGATGGTCTGATGCAAAGAAAATGATCCTAAAAAACCTTGAGAAAGAAATTAATGTCATATGGGTAGGAAAATCCATAACATTACCAAGCCCCCACAGAACTCTTGATAAAAGACTAATATACAGACTATGAAAATTTAAACAGCTGATATTGATTATAAAATCTTTTCCTGCTTCTGATGTTGATAGGGAGATTTCAGGGTGTCTATCTGTCTTCACTACAGATAAGAAGAGTTGTTTTCTGTGGCTCCTGGGAGGCTCCTAGAGGTTTCTGTCCTTGTTAATGCTCTTCCTTGGTTAGCATGATTTTAAGTGTGAATGGGTCAAATTGAGATTTTTTAAAAGGATAGAAAGTGCAAGGACTACAAAAATTTTTTTTTAACTTGAAAACTTTTGGCAACAAATAGCTAAATCTATGGAATTCTCACACAAGCAGAAATGTGTACATGTGTCAGTGGTAACAGAGTAGCATAGCAACATTTAAAATACTCCTAACATAAGCAGGTATTATAAAGACAAATTCTGCTTGTGCTCAATGTGTTCTGACATGTTGCAGCTTTCATAAAACAAACGATTTCAAAAATAAAAATATTTAGTGCATTTTAACCACATCTATGACTGTATTGCTAATACAGAAAATCTGTCTTAAAGTTGAAGGGCCGGGGATTTAGCTCAATGGTTCTACCGCCTGTCTCGCAAGCACAAGGTCAATCCCCGGTACCAAAAAAAAAAAGTTGATTTCACTGTTCTAATTTTTGCCAAATTAATTTATTCCCTTTATAAAATGGCATGTCTATTGTCACATATAGGTTGTGATAAGGTCCTATACAAAAAATAACTATCATTTGCCAAACAAAAGCTACCACCACTTCATGTTTGTCACTTTAACCTAATTATGTCCTGAGACACCTTGGTCCCCAGAACCTCCTGCCCCATGCCGCTCCTAGCCTGTGAGAGCCTTCAAACCCCATTCCCCACAACCCTATTTCATGCTTTGATTTCCGCTATGGGGGACATTCTACTTCCTAAGTGCTGGCCGGTTTTCAAGTCCTGGATCTTCTGAAATCTCCCTAAATTTAGCCAACTTATCATAAATGTATCTGTCCCTACAGGCTGCTTTTTCAAATTTGTTTGAACAGTTCTAAATGAAACAAGAGGCTGAGAACATTGAAGAACTTCCACAATTTAAAAAAACTGTTTTGTTTTGCAAAGGGGAAGCGGACCAAGAGATGGAGGGAGAGGGGATGGAAAGGAGACATAACAGAATTAAGATGTGTTATGTAAATGTATCAACCCCCACCATGAATGTAATCATTGTGTACTGCAAACCTATAGTAATAAAAATAAAAATTTTAAAAATTATTGTTTCTCCTCTTAACACCACACGCACACACATGTGCATGCGCCAAAGACCTCTCCAGCTATTAAATACTAAAGAAGGCAGGGAGGACTCACAAAAAAACAAGGTGGAGGGGCCGGGGATTTAGCTCAGTGCCCCCCCCCCCGCCCCGATCTCGCAAGCGCAAGGTCCTGAGTTCAATCTCTGTTACCAAAAAAAGCAAAAAATAACAACAACAACAAAAAAACCAAAGCGGAGCACACATAACCACAATAGACAGTCTCTCGGCAAAGAGATAGCAGTAGTCATTCCGTTTCTCAGGAGGACAAAGAAGTAGAAATAAGAAAATAGAACATGCCAGGCTGGGGATTTAGCTCAGTGGTTCTGCCACCTGCCCCGACAAGCGCAAGGACCCAAGTTCGATCCCTGGTACCAAAAAAAAAAAAAGAATCTGACACAATAATTTAGAAGAATTTGGAATATGCTAAAACCTAATTTACAAAACTATGAAGGGGCAAAATGGCTAATTTATGGTATGTAAATTTTACTTCAATTAAAAAGAAAATTAATGAAAAGGACCTGGAAGCCTCTCACTTCTGGCTAAGATGAAGTAAATGGACTAGATGAGCCTTCCAAGTAAATAACTACAAAGCTAGACAAATACATAAGTAAGTGCTTTCAGATACTGAATGACAGACACACAGGGCTGTGGTCCCTGAAACGGGAGAGACAAACAAAGCAAGCTCTAGCTTTTTCTCTGGTGGTTCTTTCTAGAAAGCAGCAGTGATGGGGAGAACTCATACAGAATACAGCAATCTTACAGAGTTGAGGACAGACTGGAGTTTGGACAAAGGGCTGAAGCGAATGGAAATTTCCAGGGGAGAGTAACAGAAAGTGGGGAGCAACACAGAGAAAAGCTACAGGAAATTTCACAGGATGCCCTTGAAGCTTTGGCAAAATACTAAGCTGCAAATGACCAGGGTATAATTTTTTCTTTTTTTGAGACAGGGACTCGCTATAGCTCAGGCTGGCCTTGAACTCACCATGTAACCCAGGCTGGCCTTGAACTCTAGGCAATTCTCCTGCCTCAGCCTCCCAAGTTCTAGGATTACAAGTGTGAAACACATTCAACCCAGGATAATACTTCTCAAGGCTCAACAAACAGCTGATGAGGAAAGAACAACTGTAGGGGAGTTGTTAGGTTTGGAAAACATTCATATTTCAACAATAGAGCTGGGTGTGGTGGCACATGCCTGGGATCCCAGCACTCTGGGAGGCTGAGGCAGGACTGCAGGTTTGAGCACAGCTTGGGTGGCTTAGTGAGATTGTGTCAAAATTTAAAATAAATAAATAAAAAGGGCTGGGTATGTAGCTAAGTGTGAAGGCTCTGGGTTCAAGCCGAGACAGTGAGAGAGAGAGAGAGAGAGAGACAGAGACAGAGACAGAGACAGAGACAGAGACACAGAGAGAAATGACCTTGCTGAATATCTAGATATTGCAGTAGAGCAGTAGAGACATCATGAAGGTATGAAGGTCATGGCTTACCAGGAGAACTAACCAGCTCTTGAACAAAGGTTACTTTAGTGGTACCTTAACAAGGACTAAGTTGACTCATAAGTAAGTTAAGTACTCACAAAAACAGAAACTGAAAAATCTTCAAACAAAGACAACTAAAGTCAGACACTCAATAATAGAACATTTACAATGACCAGATTCAATCAAAACTACTAAACACACAAAGAAAATGACACTCATAAACAGCAGAAAAATCAGTCAATAGAAATAAAACCCAAAATGAAAATGACAGACATGACTAAGTTGACAGACAAGAACTTCAAGTCAGCTATTATAAATGTATTTATAAATTTAAAAGAAAACATAGTAAGTAGAGAAATGGAAATTATAAAAGACAACAAATTAAATGTCCAGAACCTAAAAATACACTAATGTGAAAAATTCACTGGATGAGCTGAACAGCAGATTTTAGATATTTCAGAAGAAATGACAAATGAAGTTGAATAAGTAGCAACAGAAAGTATAAAAATCAAATCAGAAAAACCCCTGAAGCACAGAAAGAAGAAAAGATTAAAACAAAAATAACAAAGAGCCTGCATGGGACCGACCATACCTTACATAC